ATCTCGGCTCACTGCAAGCTCCGCCTCCCGGGTTCACCCCATTCTCCTGCCTCAGCCTCCCGAGTAGCTGGGATTACAGGCGCCCGCCACCGCGCCCGGCTAATTTTTTCTATTTTTAGTAGAGACGGGGTTTCACCATGGTCTCGATCTCCTGACCTTGTGATCCATCCGCCTCGGCCTCCCAAGAAGTAGGCATTTTAAAATTAGTCTTTGCCTTCAATCGACTTACAGATATATCATTCTCACTATAATCTATATCATTAACAACAAGCACTATTTACTATATCTATGCAAAGTGAGAGCAATACAGGTTTTAAACTTATGTTTAAAACAGGACAATCATATTTTTTCCTTCTCTCTCAAGAATTACTTCCTATCTTTTAAAAATTATATGACTATACCTTGGTACAAACAGTACCCATATTTTTTTGCTGCAATTTTCCTGTGCTTTTTTTTTTTTGTCACAAAGGCCAAGTTTGTCTTGTGGCAAGACAGTTATTGCAGTAATCATTTGCTGAAATGGAAGACTTAGATCACAGATGTTGTGATGACTTCCAGGTGTCTGTTACAGAACATATACAAAAAGAAACCATCCTTGAAATTAGAATTCCATACTTCGTGCAAATCCTATTTATTGCTATACTTGCTTATTTACAATTTTTGTATCAATCTTTGTAGCCTAAGATACATCAGTGAGGGGGAGTAGACAGAATGTTGAACTTTTCAGTAACGACATCTAGGATCTATCTGGGTTCTCTGCCCATCTAGCTGGTTATCTTGTGAAGGTGAATGACTTCTGAGGCTGTTATCCCATGGAGTGATAGTGCTGGACTCTACTTACCCATTAGAATATCCTAACCTTTTCTTCCAATTTAAAGACAAATAAAAAACTTTCATTCTGTAAAATTCAGTAGCCCAATTCATGAGAAATTCTTGTTTTTTACAGAGCCACCTGTTTTTAGCAGCTTCCCTCCAGTAGTAGAAACCCTTAAAAATGCTGAAGTCAGTCTTGAATGTGAACTTTCGGGAACACCACCGTTTGAGGTGGTGTGGTACAAAGATAAGCGGCAACTCAGAAGCAGCAAGAAATACAAAATTGCATCCAAAAACTTCCACACAAGTATTCACATTCTCAATGTGGACACTTCAGACATCGGTGAATACCACTGCAAAGCACAGAATGAAGTGGGAAGTGATACTTGCGTTTGTACTGTAAAATTGAAAGGTAAATATAGTGCATTCACATGGCAGAAATGTCATAAATGTGCAAAATCCCATTTTTTTCACTCTCACATGATCTGGACAATCTTTTCAAAAATCTCCATCCATCTTTTCCTGTCCAGAACCACCAAGATTTGTCTCCAAACTGAACAGCCTCACCGTGGTAGCTGGACAGCCTGCTGAATTACAAGCATCCATAGAAGGCGCCCAGCCTATTTTTGTCCAGTGGCTTAAAGAGAAGGAAGAAGTGATTAGAGAAAGTGAAAACATCAGGATTACATTTGTGGAAAATGTTGCAACTCTGCAGTTTGCGAAAGCAGAGCCAGCTAATGCTGGAAAGTATATCTGCCAAATCAAGAATGATGGTGGAATGAGGGAGAACATGGCCACACTGACCGTCTTAGGTTGGTACAATAACCCACGATAGAAACTGGTGCCAAATGCTGGAATGAATTACTAAGAGTCTACTAAGGCAGACTCTTTTTCTGAATTTCTTCTAGAACTATATTTATCCTCATCTATTTGAAAGGTCTAGAGGAAAGACATAGTCGATCTTTCAAACACTCTTTTCTGTTTCTGTGATTCTAACAAAAGTAAACATCTGTTTTATTGTTTAATAACTACCTGTCTTAATCAATTAGCAGATGTAATCGTGACTCTTTTTGATTAAGCATGAAAGAATACAGAGCCCAGCATGTGCTACAAGAGTAATTGTTAAAACTAACAAGAACTCCAAAGGTTGGCATATGATAGCAAAGCTTGCACATAAAATTAAATGACAATTAAACAATTGTTTGAATAACATCTTTCAAAGAATTGTCTTTAACACCTTAAAGTAGAGCAAAAATACCAAGTAATTCACAATAACGTGTAGCCTTTGATCTACAGAGGGTCAAGTGGAAATCAATATATACTATCTAATGCACATTGTTTAAATCGATTTGAGATGAGTCGTGCATGAACATATATTTCTTAAGAATAATTGCTATAAGATGACAGCAAGAGTGGTGGGAAAAGTAAAAAAATAAAGAAAAAAGAAAACTAAAAAGAAAAAATATTAAAACAAAAAATAGCTATCATTCTATGACTGCATGTAATTATGGAATCACACTTTAAAGTCGAGAGAGCGAGCACCCTAACGTAACCATCTCATTGGGAGAAACAATCTTAGTGAATGTGACAGTAGAGACACAGTAAAGATCCTAGACTTTGACAAATGGATATCATGTTTTATTTCAGAGCCCGCAGTCATTGTTGAGAAGGCAGGACCGATGACAGTGACTGTAGGAGAAACGTGCACTCTGGAGTGTAAGGTAGCTGGCACTCCAGAACTCTCTGTTGAATGGTACAAGGATGGAAAGCTGTTGACCAGCAGCCAAAAACACAAATTTAGCTTCTACAACAAAATCTCTTCCTTGAAGATTCTCTCAGTTGAAAGGCAAGATGCAGGCACATACACTTTCCAGGTTCAAAATAATGTTGGGAAAAGCAGCTGCACAGCTGTAGTTGATGTTTCAGGTTAGTTCTGCTATTTTTCTCTGGTTGCTTATGCAAATTCCTTTTACAAGTTTCCTTCTTTCAAGTCTCTTCTATTCTTTCAAATCATGATGAGTCTCTTACCTTTCCTCACACAGACCGAACAGTTCCTCCCTCTTTCACACGAAGACTGAAAAATACTGGTGGGGTGTTAGGTGCCTCTTGCATCTTGGAATGCAAAGTAGCTGGATCATCACCTATCTCAGTTGCCTGGTTTCATGAAAAAACTAAGATTGTCAGTGGAGCAAAGTACCAGACCACATTTTCAGATAATGTCTGCACATTGCAGTTGAATTCTCTGGATTCATCAGATATGGGCCATTACACATGTGTGGCTGCTAATGTCGCTGGGTCTGATGAATGTCGCGCAGTGCTAACTGTACAAGGTCAGTAGACAGTCCAACTTGTAAGGAATTTCATACAAATTCCTCTTCAGGTGCACATCTATGTTGACAAACATTCAAAAGTGCTCTAAAGTTTTATTCAAAATTGCAACTCCATTTGAAGCTTACAGGATCTTTCAATTGTTCTCCATGTCTACATAGAACCACCCTCTTTTGTGAAAGAACCTGAACCTTTGGAAGTACTACCAGGGAAAAATGTAACCTTCACAAGTGTTATTAGAGGAACCCCTCCATTCAAAGTCGGCTGGTTCAGAGGTGCCAGAGAACTAGTGAAAGGAGACCAGTGCAACATCTATTTTGAAGACACTGTGGCAGAACTGGAATTATTTAATGTTGACATATCTCACAGTGGGGAATACACCTGTGTGGTTTCTAACAACGCTGGCCAAGCATCTTGCACTACCCGTCTCTTTGTAAAAGGTTTGCTCAAGTGGATTTGCTTTTTCTATTTTCTGTATACTGATATCTTTGTGTTTTTATTGTGTTTAACTGCTGTGCTTTGTCACTTACTAGAACCAGCTGCATTTGTGAAGAGATTAAGTGATCATTCTGTAGAACCAGGGAAGTCCATAATTCTGGAGAGCACCTACACTGGAACACTTCCAATTTCTGTCACTTGGAAAAAGGATGGTTTTAACATAACTACCTCTGAAAAATGTAACATAGTCACAACAGAGAAAACTTGTATCCTGGAAATTCTGAATAGCACAAAAAGAGATGCAGGACAGTATTCCTGCGAGATTGAAAATGAGGCAGGAAGGGATGTTTGTGGAGCTCTGGTATCTACATTAGGTGTGTTGTCTTATTGTCTTTTAAATCATTTGCATTCTTCTAACATGTAGCATAGTTTCTTTGATATTCATTAATTCCAGTTGCTGATTGTGAGCCTTTCTTCCTTAGAACCGCCTTATTTTGTCACGGAACTGGAACCTCTGGAGGCATCAGTTGGAGATTCGGTTTCTTTACAATGCCAAGTTGCTGGGACACCAGAAATTACAGTGTCTTGGTACAAAGGAGACACCAAATTACGGCCAACTCCTGAATACAGGACCTACTTTACAAACAATGTGGCCACGCTTGTTTTTAATAAGGTGAACCTCAGTGACAGCGGAGAGTACACATGCAAAGCAGAAAATAGTATAGGAACTGCTTCTTCTAAGACTGTGTTCAGAATTCAAGGTGACGATATTTTACAAATTAAGAAATTCCTTTTTTCCTTAACTCTTGTATCTTTATGGTGAAGTTCTCATTTCATCTCCTAATGCCTTAAGTATTACGTGTCTCCCTACAGAGCGCCAACTCCCACCTTCCTTTGCAAGACAATTAAAGGACATTGAACAAACTGTGGGGTTACCTGTTACACTCACTTGTCGATTAAATGGCTCTGCACCCATCCAAGTGTGCTGGTATAGAGACGGAGTACTTTTAAGAGATGATGAAAATCTACAGACATCGTTTGTAGATAATGTGGCAACTTTAAAAATTTTGCAAACTGACTTGAGTCACTCTGGCCAGTACTCTTGCTCAGCTTCCAACCCACTCGGAACAGCATCTTCTAGTGCTAGACTCACAGCAAGAGGTTTGTTCACATGTCACACTTTTTCTTTGCAAACTGTGACTTCATATTTCATTGTCAAAGTAGAAATGACCAATGGCAAAAAAAAAAAAAAAAAAAAAAAAAAAAAAAAAAAAAAAAAAAAAAAACACACATTGCCTTTCTTCTCATCTTCCAGAACCCAAGAAATCTCCCTTCTTTGACATCAAGCCTGTATCTATAGATGTTATTGCTGGAGAAAGTGCTGATTTTGAGTGTCATGTTACTGGTGCTCAACCAATGCGAATCACTTGGTCAAAAGATAACAAGGAGATCCGTCCTGGAGGAAACTATACAATCACATGTGTGGGAAACACTCCTCATTTGAGAATTCTTAAAGTAGGCAAGGGAGACTCTGGTCAATATACTTGCCAAGCAACCAATGATGTTGGCAAAGACATGTGCTCAGCTCAGCTCAGTGTAAAAGGTATCATTCCATGGCTTTTCACAATATTTGTTCCTTACCATGTTTGCATAATTGTCTTATAAATGTTTCTTTGGTTTTTAAGTGTTTGAGATAAACTAACTGGACATGTTAGAATTTGTGTATTAGTGTTGGAGGTAACATTAATCAAAGTTGTGTTTTCTCTTTATATTGTTCTTTACATTAGTGTATCTCTAAGTGTAATCTTATCAAAAAGTATTGTTTAATTGAAATTTGTTAAATGTCGTTTTAACTGTCTAGTCCATTTTTTAATGCTTTCTTGTTATATGGCATTCTGATTTATCATTACTAAATGTTGATCAAATACATCTATAATACATTAACTTTTATGTTTTAACTTACATAGTCAAACTAAAAAAAGTATCAACTAAATTATTTTAAATGTTATGAGATTATTTAACTTAAAAGATAACTTATTTTACTGCAAAATCCTCAGAAAGTATATTCTTAATAACAAACCAGTTTAAATATAAATTTATGGGATCTTCAGCTACAAAAACAAGCTCTTTTAACATGTATAATAAATATCCCTCACTGACTGTTTTGTTTGGTTTACTAGAACCTCCAAAGTTTGTTAAGAAATTAGAAGCTTCAAAAGTTGCAAAGCAGGGGGAATCCATTCAACTGGAATGTAAAATAAGTGGTTCCCCAGAAATCAAAGTTTCGTGGTTCCGAAATGACAGTGAACTTCATGAAAGTTGGAAATACAACATGTCATTCATTAATTCTGTGGCATTGCTTACCATCAATGAAGCTAGTGCTGAGGACAGCGGGGACTACATTTGTGAGGCTCATAATGGTGTTGGTGACGCCAGCTGCAGCACAGCGTTGACAGTGAAAGGTTAGACACACTAAGCTTCTTCATTTCTTTATTCTCCTCTGATTTGGGCTCTTAGCAAAGTTATGAGCTCCAAAACAAAAGGATAATTAAGGTTATTTTGTTGCAATTCTTCAACAAGTTTTAATGAATTGTCATTTCTTGTGTCAGCATGTATTGTCATATGATCACACCAGTCAGTCTTCAAGGTTCTAGATTTAATTTTTTCTTCCTTTATAGTAAGCAAGTGTTCTCATTGTTTATCTTCTTTTTTCTGGTAGCACCTCCTATTTTCACCCAGAAGCCTTCTCCAGTAGGAGCTCTTAAAGGTTCTGATGTGATTCTACAATGTGAAATTTCGGGAACTCCCCCATTTGAAGTAGTATGGGTTAAAGATCGAAAGCAAGTTAGAAGCAGCAAGAAATTTAAAATCACTTCGAAAAATTTTGATACAAGTCTTCATATCCTTAACCTTGAAGCCTCCGATGTTGGGGAATATCACTGCAAAGCTACTAACGAGGTGGGAAGTGACACGTGTTCTTGCTCTGTCAAGTTCAAAGGTTTGTATACATGGGCACAAAAATATATGCCCCTTACTTCTATCTGTTCTTGCCTAACTAATAACTTGTGTGGCCATGACTCTCACATTTTTTCCTCTAATCACAAATTTCTTTCATCAGAACCTCCACGATTCGTGAAAAAGCTAAGTGACACCTCAACACTTATTGGGGATGCTGTTGAGTTACGGGCCATAGTGGAGGGCTTCCAGCCAATTTCTGTTGTCTGGCTGAAAGATAAAGGTGAAGTCATCAGAGAAAGTGAGAACACCAGGATTTCATTCATTGATAACATTGCAACCCTCCAGCTGGGGAGTCCAGAAGCATCGAATTCTGGAAAATATATATGCCAAATCAAAAACGATGCTGGAATGAGAGAATGCTCTGCAGTCTTGACTGTACTAGGTTAGTAGCAAAGCACAGCCAGAGAAAAAATATCAAGTTAATTGATCCATGATCATTTTCCTCAAATATTCCTCTTATCGAGTAATACAGTGATTGTACTCTTGAGTTTGAAAGGTGACTTTGTTTTCAATGCAAAATACTTCTTCTTTTAGAACCAGCCAGAATCATAGAGAAGCCAGAACCCATGACTGTCACTACTGGAAATCCTTTTGCATTAGAATGTGTAGTGACTGGAACACCCGAACTCTCAGCCAAGTGGTTCAAAGATGGAAGAGAATTGTCTGCAGACAGCAAACATCACATTACATTCATCAATAAAGTAGCTTCCCTCAAAATCCCCTCTGCAGAAATGAGTGACAAAGGGTTATATAGCTTTGAAGTGAAAAACAGTGTTGGCAAAAGTAACTGCACTGTATCCGTCCATGTTTCTGGTGAGTAGAATGAGATTTTTGTGCATTTACAATATTTCCATGGGGTGGAGGGGCACAGAATAAAACTTCTCTTTAAATGCAAAACTACCCTTCCCCACATAGATCGGATTGTGCCTCCTTCCTTCATCCGCAAGCTGAAAGACGTGAATGCCATCCTGGGGGCCTCAATTGTTTTGGAGTGCCGAGTCTCTGGTTCGGCCCCAATTTCAGTTGGCTGGTTTCAGGACGGAAATGAGATTGTTAGTGGGCCCAAATGTCAGTCCAGCTTTTCAGAAAACGTCTGTACTTTGAATCTGAGCTTGTTGGAGCCCTCCGACACAGGCATATACACGTGTGTGGCTGCCAACGTAGCTGGTTCCGACGAGTGCTCAGCAGTCCTGACTGTGCAAGGTCAGTGTGTAGGGAAAAAGCTGCTGCTTCTCTAACACCTCTTTCATGTGGATGTGATGTCTGCCTTCCCTGGAGTTTCTTTATTTTGTCTTCATGTTTAGTCTTAGCTCTCTTTTTTTTAAGGAGCAAAAGCACTTCTCACTTGGATTTCTTTCTTCTCTTAATCTCCCCTTCCACCTTGCAATATCTAGAACCACCATCTTTTGAACAAACCCCCGATTCTGTGGAAGTTTTGCCTGGAATGAGCCTCACGTTCACCAGTGTCATCAGAGGCACCCCTCCTTTCAAGGTCAAGTGGTTTAAAGGCAGCAGGGAACTGGTGCCTGGGGAGTCATGCAACATCTCCCTGGAAGATTTTGTCACAGAACTGGAGTTGTTTGAGGTGCAACCATTGCAAAGTGGAGACTATTCTTGCCTCGTTACTAATGATGCTGGCAGTGCTTCCTGTACCACACATCTTTTTGTGAAAGGTTTGCTCTTTCCCCCAATATGTGCATCTTTTAAAATTTCTCCTAAGTCTTCATTAGAAGACATGAATTTTACCCTCATGTTTTCTCCCTATAGAACCAGCCACCTTTGTGAAAAGACTGGCTGATTTCAGTGTTGAGACAGGAAGCCCCATAGTTCTCGAGGCCACATACACTGGCACACCTCCAATCTCAGTGAGCTGGATAAAGGACGAGTATCTTCTTTCACAATCTGAGAGATGCAGTATTACTATGACAGAAAAATCTACCATACTGGAAATTCTTGAGAGCACAATAGAGGATTATGCACAGTACAGCTGCCTGATAGAAAATGAGGCCGGTCAAGATATCTGTGAAGCTCTGGTGTCTGTCTTAGGTGTGTTGACAGCTACCTCTTTGTATTGCTCTTTCACTTCAAACATCCTCTTTTACATGGCATGACTGACTGATTGATTACCATCCTTTGTACCATAGAACCACCATACTTCATCGAACCTCTGGAACATGTGGAAGCAGCCATTGGAGAACCTGCAACTTTACGGTGTAAAGTGGATGGAACTCCAGAAATTAGAATTTCTTGGTATAAAGAACACACAAAGCTACGATCAGCTCCTGCATATAAAATGCAATTCAAAAATAACATTGCTTCCTTAGTAATCAACAAAGTGGATCACAGTGATGTGGGAGAGTATTCGTGCAAGGCAGAGAACAGTGTGGGGGCAGTCGCTTCTTCAGCTGTGCTTGTTATCAAAGGTGATGATGGTGTTGTTTAACCTAGTGTGTGTGGACAGATTCATTTTCTTAAAAACATCAAAACTTTCATGGATTGAAATATGTTGTGGATGCTTTCTCACTTGTAAATAAGGATTATCTGTAACTTCTTTACAGAGCGCAAACTTCCACCTTCCTTTGCAAGAAAACTGAAAGACGTTCATGAGACTCTAGGCTTCCCAGTTGCATTTGAATGCCGCATCAATGGCTCAGAACCTCTTCAAGTGTCTTGGTACAAGGATGGGGTTCTTTTGAAAGATGATGCTAATTTGCAGACATCTTTTGTTCATAATGTAGCAACTCTTCAGATTTTACAAACTGACCAGAGCCACGTAGGGCAGTATAATTGCTCTGCTTCTAATCCTCTTGGGACTGCTTCATCCAGTGCCAAGCTCATTCTCTCAGGTGAGTAACTCACATTACCCTCTTCATTGTAAAGCAGCTTCACTGCTCCAGGCCACCAAAAGGCTGGCGCCATTTAGTTTCTGCTGTGTATATGAGAGCATGGAAATCAAAATCACCATGTTGGTCTTCATTCTTTTCAGAGCATGAAGTGCCTCCTTTCTTTGATCTAAAACCTGTATCAGTAGATCTTGCTCTTGGAGAAAGTGGTACTTTTAAATGTCATGTAACTGGGACTGCACCAATCAAAATCACTTGGGCCAAAGATAACCGAGAGATACGCCCTGGAGGCAACTACAAGATGACTTTGGTAGAAAATACTGCCACTCTGACAGTTCTCAAAGTAGGCAAAGGCGATGCCGGGCAGTACACCTGCTATGCAAGCAACGTCGCTGGAAAAGACTCTTGTTCTGCTCAGCTGGGTGTACAAGGTACTTGTTAGAGTGAAGGAGCAAGATCTCTTTTACATTTTCAGTATCTTAAAATATAGGAGGGTGGGTGTGCTTGAGAGAGGGCTACGTTTAGGACCAGGGTCTAGTGATTAAAATGGATCAAGTGGATCAAGGACCTTCCAAATGGAGACAAGCATTTTTTTATTACTTTAAAAAAATTTTTTTAAGCTAGGAAAACATGGACCAAAAGTCCATTTTAAGAGATTAAAAATAGAGACTAGAGAGAGACAACCAAAACTCTACAAAATTGCGAGAAAATCCTAGTTTGAAAGGCATTATCATAGGAGAAAAAAGCGAAGTTATTGCAAATGACTTGTTTTCCATAGTACTTAGTAAATGAATGGATTTTGTCCATCTAAGGCATAGCAAAACTCCAAACTATCAAGCCCTTCAAGGAGAATTCAGATGAGAATGATAAGTTCAACTTACTTCCCTCCATGAGCCCCACTTAAATAATAGTGGAGGTCAGCGGCTGAGGAGTAGGTAGATCAGTATCTGCTATTATGGAAGGCAGTCATGTGTTTCTGCCACATGTTTATAGCTGCTAGTGTTAGCAATTAAATAGTTTACTCAATGGACTGCTAGTCGGGTCCATTAGAGTATTTTTAAGGGTTTTTATGGTGGTGATGGTTTATAAATATCTTGAAATTAAAATATAATTAGATTTAGCAGCCCATTTGCTCTATGACATATAGCTAATCATTTTCACTTCCCTATGCCTGAATTTTTTGCTTCAGTAAATGAGGAAAGCATTACTCTCGCACACTTCAGAGGAAAATTATGAAGGTTGAAGAAATATCCATTTAACACCTATAAGAGGAAAATGGCATTTTAAAAATATTAGGATATCTGACCCATTTTGCCATTCTGGCTCTTCATGCTATGTAACTGATAGCATTGCAGCCTTAGGAAATAGTTCTCCACTGGTTCACATACAGGACAGTAACGAAACTCTCATTCCCCGTGGACCTCAGAGGGCTTCCACTGACAGATACATGTTATTATCTCTGATCTTGGCACTAGAGAAGGGACTCTTTTGCTGGGAGAGGACGGCACATTAGAGAGTAACGTCTTTTTCTCCTTCCTTTAGTAATAATACTTGATGTGGATGCTTACAAAAACAAGCGTATTTTATTTTAGAAATTTTCTATTTAGGTTTCATTTAACTCTTCTTCCTTGAACTGCATAGATTTGTTTTCCAGAGCTAAAGACCTCTCTAGCAAAGATTATTTTTTCCACCTCATCTTGAATTATATGCATCTTTTCCATCCCTTACCCTTTGTGTTTCCTTTTGTTTCCATAGAACCACCCAGGTTCATTAAGAAGCTAGAACCTTCAAGAATTGTGAAACAGGATGAATTTACAAGATATGAATGCAAAATTGGCGGGTCTCCAGAAATCAAAGTTTTATGGTACAAGGACGAGACTGAAATTCAAGAGAGCAGTAAATTCAGAATGTCATTCGTTGACTCCGTGGCTGTGCTGGAAATGCACAATCTCAGTGTTGAAGACAGTGGAGACTACACCTGTGAGGCCCACAATGCAGCCGGCAGTGCCAGCAGCAGCACGTCCTTAAAAGTTAAAGGTCAGAGCTCTCCCCACCTGTGTATTTTTCATATTAGCCTCCTCTTTAATTGTCTTCTTAACTCCCTGTTTGACTCTCCAACGATGTTTTAAAATTGGGAAAGGACACAGTAAAGAATTGAAAGTGTTTTTTTCACTCTATCTCCGATGGAGTCGAAGACTGATTCTTACTTTTAACTATATACTTACATAATACATCCGTATCTTCCTTTTTTCCAATTTTAGAACCACCCATTTTCCGCAAAAAGCCTCATCCTGTCGAGACACTGAAAGGAGCTGATGTTCACCTTGAATGTGAGCTTCAGGGCACACCCCCATTTCATGTTTCTTGGCATAAAGACAAGAGAGAACTTAGGAGCGGCAAGAAGTACAAGATAATGTCTGAGAACTTCCTTACCAGTATCCACATCCTGAATGTTGATGCTGCAGACATTGGGGAATATCAGTGTAAAGCCACAAACGATGTGGGGAGTGACACTTGCGTTGGTTCCATCACTCTCAAAGGTTAGATGGACTGCATTCTCTTCTGCTCACTACTTCCCTTCTAATTGTAATAGTCTGTTGCCCCCTTCACCCTAGCTCAGTCTTATCACTAACAGCCTATTCCACTTTCCCTTTGTTTCCTTTCCAAGTCCTTTTCTGTTGAGTCTGCATCCCGTTTCTAAATCCTACTAAATATCCTTTTAGATAATGTTGTCATTAGGTTTTGATTGGATTAAGAAAGCTGGAGTAGATGAGATATTCAACTTTCCTACTGAATATAAACTTTAATGTGTCCCTGCTCGCATCGACCAAAAATGCCTCTTAAATGAAAATGATACATTATCACTAGTTTGATTCTTGGCATTCATGATTTGAGCAAAATGCTGTCAGTCCCACACATTTTAAAACCCAGGCTTTCCTCTTTCTTCATCAGCACCACCAAGCTTTGTGAAGAAGCTCAGTGACATTTCTACTGTCGTTGGTGAAGAAGTTCAGCTGCAGACTATCATTGAAGGCGCTGAGCCCATTTCAGTGGTGTGGTTCAAAGATAAGGGGGAAGTCGTTAGAGAAAGTGACAACATATGGATTTCTTATTCAGAAAACATTGCAACCTTACAATTTTCAAGAGTGGAACCAGCCAGTGCTGGAAAATACACTTGTCAGATCAAAAATGATGCTGGGATGCAAGAGTGCTTCGCCATGCTATCCATTCTCGGTTAGTACAAAGATGACGTTATCACAGATACAAGGCACACACTCACCAGGATCTGTGTTTTCTTCAGTTTTTCAATTTGAATTTAAAATATGGGTATCTTTTACATTTCATTCCAGAGCCTGCAACAATTGTAGAAAAGCCAGAATCCATAAAAGTTACCACAGGAGACACCTGTACCTTGGAGTGTACAGTAACTGGCACCCCTGAACTCAGTACTAAGTGGTTTAAGGATGGAAAAGAACTAACAAGTGACAACAAATACAAAATAAGCTTCTTCAACAAAGTATCTGGCCTTAAGATCATCAAGGTGGCACCGAGTGACAGTGGGGTATACAGTTTTGAGGTGCAGAACCCTGTTGGTAAAGACAGCTGCACAGCTTCAGTGCAGGTTTCAGGTTGGTTGATTTCTTGGGCTTTTCCTTCATCATTATAATAATGTATTTCCTGATTTTCATAAATGTATATGGGTTGTTCCATCTTCTATAGGATAGCATGAGTCTTACATCGTCTGAATCAGCAAATTCAGAGGCAATACCATCTGTAGAATTAGAAGAAAACCACATTCTAAAGTTATATCCCTTTCTTTTTGAGGAATTTCCAAAATGATGATAGGAATGAAAAATAGTGTCTGGATAAGGTTAAAGCAGTCTTCCTTTATGCTGAAATAATTCACCACATAATGCTTCACGGCAAAGAGAGAATAAAATCCCTAGCAAGTCAACCATCACTTTCTGCCCACTGATTCTCCAAGCTTTTGATAGTGTGAAGCCATAGAGGATTTTTTAATACCCTCACAAAAGAGCCAAATGGATCTAGGGATATTCCATCAAGAAGACAGCTCTCTCTTCAAGTCATTTTATAATTGTTGTCCTTTGTTTTTGCTTTTTTTTGTATCACATTCAGATCGAACCGTTCCTCCTTCATTCACAAGAAAATTGAAAGAGACAAATGGTCTATCCGGTTCCTCAGTTGTAATGGAGTGTAAAGTCTATGGGTCACCTCCAATCTCTGTCTCCTGGTTCCATGAAGGAAATGAGATCAGCAGTGGAAGGAAATACCAGACCACCCTGACAGATAATACTTGTGCTTTAACTGTGAACATGCTGGAAGAATCAGACAGTGGTGACTACACATGTATAGCTACTAATATGGCTGGTTCTGATGAATGTAGTGCTCCTTTGACTGTGAGAGGTCAGTTTACAAAACAGTAAAATGAATTGCATTTCACAGTTTATTAAGCATGTTTGTCATAACAATTCACAAATCTAAACCTTTTCTGATATATGCTTTTGTGTTTAGAACCACCATCTTTTGTTCAGAAACCTGAACCCATGGATGTTTTAACTGGGACCAATGTAACTTTCACCAGTATCGTAAAAGGAACACCTCCTTTCAGTGTTAGCTGGTTCAAGGGTAGCAGTGAAGTAGTACCAGGGGACAGATGCAACGTGTCCTTGGAGGATTCAGTTGCTGAACTGGAGTTGTTCGATGTAGATACATCACAAAGTGGAGAATATACTTGCATAGTTAGCAATGAAGCTGGCAAGGCTTCTTGTACAACACATCTCTACATAAAAGGTTTGTCAGACTGCTCTTCTAGATTTATATGGTTAGTAATTAGATGTGTCTATGTCTCTATGTATATGTGTTTGATATTTTCAATTGATATATTTTCAATTTGGTCACTTTAGCCCCAGCCAAATTTGTGAAGAGGCTGAATGATTACAGCATAGAGAAAGGAAAACCCCTGATCCTAGAGGGTACATTCACTGGAACTCCTCCCATTTTGGTTGTCTGGAAGAAAAATGGCATAAATGTAACTCCTTCTCAGAGGTGTAATATAACTACGACTGAAAAATCGGCAATCCTGGAAATTCCAAGTAGCACAGTAGAGGATGCAGGACAATACAACTGCTACATTGAAAATGCTTCTGGAAAAGATTCCTGTTCAGCACAAATACTCATACTAGGTTTGTCATGATTGCACATTCTTACCTTTGTATGCAATCGATGATCTGGCCCATCTCCTTCATCACTGATTGATTATCTCTCTTGGCTGCAGAACCACCGTATTTTGTCAAGCAGCTGGAGCCGGTTAAAGTGTCTGTTGGAGATTCTGCCTCTCTACAATGCCAGCTTGCTGGAACCCCTGAAATTGGGGTATCCTGGTATAAAGGAGATACAAAATTGAGACCCACTACGACCTACAAAATGCATTTTAGGAATAATGTTGCTACACTGGTTTTCAACCAGGTTGATATTAATGATAGTGGAGAATATATCTGCAAAGCTGAAAACAGCGTGGGAGAAGTTTCTGCATCAACTTTCCTTACCGTTCAAGGTGATGGCAATATTTTTAAAGTGAACGAATTTGTGTTTCTTTTGAACAAGATTTAAAATGTCTGGGGAGGCCTTGTTTTTAGGAAAATCTTTCCAAAGTCTTAATATTCTGCTTAAGTAATCCTATTTACAGTTAGTGGCTTATCTTTTTCTGTGGATTTTACAGAGAGAGATAATATGACTAAATCTTTCATTGGAAGGATTATGCAATCATTTGCTTCTATAATTAAATCTTTTTTAAAAGTGATCATATATTTTTTAATTCCACCCCATAAGTATCTCATGCAAATTGTTAGAAGGCAGTCTTTAAAATTACAGGAATCTGCTGCTTGCCCAGAGACATGCCTTCAGCCAACCAATTGCTTTACTGGTTTTCAGATTGGTTTGCACCTACTGTGCATAAGGGTTGGTCTCAGAGTGATACTTTTGCTCCAGAAATCTATATGCTTTTCTTTATCTCCAAGTTAATTCAAGAGACGTTAATAATTCCTGATTTTTAAAAGAAATCACATATATACATGCATTTTGTATATATATAATTGTGAGAAGAGCATTTAGGAAATTAAAGTGTTTGTTACTTTTATTCTGTTCCTACAGAACAAAAACTTCCACCATCATTTTCTCGACAATTGAGAGATGTTCAAGAAACAGTTGGACTGCCAGTTGTTTTTGATTGTGCCATAAGTGGATCAGAACCTATCTCTGTGTCTTGGTATAAAGATGGCAAGCCATTGAAAGACAGCCCAAATGTACAAACATCATTTTTAGACAATACAGCCACACTCAATATTTTTAAAACTGACCGGAGCCTTGCAGGCCAGTATTCTTGCACAGCTACAAACCCTATAGGCTCTGCTTCTTCTAGTGCCCGGCTCATTCTTACAGGTTTGTGGATTCTTAAACTTTTATTTCTATAATTAAAGTATTGTAATCAAATGTGAAATTAGGGAGAAATTTCTGTTTCAGTAAACTGACACGGTCCAGATACTGAGCCTGAAACCTTGCCTTTCTGCTCTACTATTAGAGGGGAAGAACCCACCATTCTTTGATATCCGTCTTGCCCCTGTGGATGCTGTGGTGGGAGAAAGTGCTGACTTTGAGTGCCACGTCACAGGCACACAACCGATAAAGGTCAGCTGGGCCAAAGACAACAGAGAGATACGAAGTGGTGGAAACTACCAGATTAGTTATCTGGAAAACAGCGCCCACCTGACAGTCCTCAAAGTAGACAAAGGAGATTCTGGACAATATACCTGCTATGCTGTGAATGAAGTGGGAAAAGACTCGTGCACAGCTCAGCTGAATATAAAAGGTATCATTTATTTTATAAGTGATCCCACAAAAGTGTAATTTTGTAGTATATCCTGAAGGTGTAGTTTTTATGATGATGAATGCAATTTAGGACATTTTTAAACAAATGAAAAGAAAACGTTTACGAGGAAATAAGTTTATCTAGAGAAGAAGTCATTTTTTAAATCTGTATTTCTTTCTTTTCTCGAGACAGGGCCTCACTCTGTCACCCAGGCTGGAGTACAGTGGCATGATCTCTGCTTGCTGCAACCTCTGCCTCCTGGGTTCAAGTGATTCTCATGCCTCAGCCTCCTGAGTAGGTGGGATTACAGGCACCCACTACCATGCCCAACTAATTTTTGTAATTTTTGGTAGAAACGGGGTTTCACCATGTTGGCCAGATTGGTCTGGAGCTCCTGACGTCAAGTGATCTGCCCGCCTTGGCTTCCCAAAGTGCTGGGATTACAGGCATGAGCTACCACACCCAGCTTATAATCTATATTTCTAAAACTTTATATATTCCATATGATACTGAGATTACCCCCTCTTTTTACAAATTTGTCATTCTGTAAATGACCATAAGTTATTTCTTATCACCCACCTTGTAAGTCAAAGAACAGTTTAGAATAAGCTGGTAGAAGGAGACTGAAATGTTTAGGAACATACACTGATATAGTGTATTTAGTTGGTTAGCCTTGATTTTTAACTAAAATATGAGATTTTTTCCTTGAAAAGCTTCATATTAGTAATCTGCTTCTGGATTCTACTTCATATATCCTTGCAATTTCTTACAGAGCGGCTCATCCCACCAAGTTTCACTAAAAAACTCTCAGAGACAGTAGAAGAAACAGAAGGGAATTCTTTTAAACTTGAGGGACGTGTGGCTGGTTCCCAACCTATAACTGTTGCCTGGTACAAAAATAATATAGAGATACAACCAACTTCTAACTGTGAAATAACATTCAAGAACAACACGTTAGTGCTGCAAGTCAGGAAAGCAGGCATGAACGACGCGGGTTTGTACACATGCAAAGTGTCCAATGATGCAGGCTCTGCTCTGTGCACATCTTCAATTGTCATCAAAGGTGAGTTATCCTCACAGCCCCAACCTGTTGTTTTTCTTCACTGCCTGTTATATAGCCATGTGCATTTCTTATGATATCTTGACCATGTAAGTTATAACAAATATAAATACACATTATTTAACTGTGTATTTATCACTCCACATATTTACCAAAAATATAAATTATTGTAATTTAATTATGTGTCTTCCCAAAGGAGGTGTCATTTAATGGACTAGTATCTTCGGTTTCTAAATCCTATCCCCAAATTCCCTTAAGTAGTTAGAAGTTTCAGCATACTCTGAAATGTGTGCATATGTGACACATATATTTTTATGAAGTACATTTGTTTTTAATTTTTTCTAATGTTCATCACCAAATATCACACTTACTTGACTATTATTGAGTTATACATTATATCACAGTCTGAAACTTTCTCCTTTCTAAGTGTATTTCTAAAGGATTATTGTTTAATGTATATTGCCCAAAGCTTTGGACCTGCAAACAAATATTAATCCCAGACAAAAGGGCAACATTTGCCCAAAAAGAAAAATAATGGGTAGAAAACATTGCATATCATTATGGAAGATGTATTTAAATACACAATCATAGCTTGAGACAATGAAATAGACTATGTTGTTTAAGGATATCTTTATCTGTTTCTCTTCACTGTAACGGCTTCCAGTAATTACAACATAGCTTCATCAAAATCACATTAAAAACTAAACTCTTAGAGCAGCTTGGAATTGATTACCAACTCTTATGATCTGGTTGCTTATCTCACGGTGTACAGATAGTAAGTTATTATTAATAGACTGATATTTCTCATAAGTAAATATCACTGAGTTGTCTTAAAATTCCAATTTCATCACTCATTTAATGGAATTTAGATGCATTTAGTTTTAAAACACATTTAATAAAATGAAAAACATATACTTAGCAGTGGCTTATATTCATGATTTACATTCATGATGGTTTTACCACGGCAGATAAATGCTTTCTATAGAATTCTGAAGCTATTTGTAACATTTTTTAAAGGGTAGACATCAGAAGTTCTAATCTTTGCAATAACAAAAAAAAATGGCCTTATTCTTTCTAGGTACAGGTCTCAGAACCATTGAACAAAATCATTATATAGTACTGAGTTGTACATGGCCTTCCTATCATGTTACTCATCGAGTCTTCATCACTGGTCTTCAGTTAAACACTGAACTTCAACTCCTAATTCCTTTGGGCTAAGATTGGATTTTAAATGCTACTGTGGCTCCATTTAATAGCTAAAGATGAACATCAGAGAAAATCACATATAAATATGTGGGCTCATGTATTACTCAGATGCTAGCTTTCTTTCCTAGAGGGTAGCAATCACTGCTGCTGGAGATAAGCAGAATTCCCAAATAAGCCCTTCATTTTCAGGGTTCAGCAAAAACGCAGCTGTACACAGGTTTGAGAGAATTAATAGTGTGCTACATGGTAAAGAAGTTTATAGTAACTGCCAGTGTCTGCAGTGCTTAGTCAAAACACAGATGCTGGGGCAATTTGTGGGCAGCATGTCATGTGTTCTTTGCTTGTTTTTAAACCTTTATCGTTTTTAAAAATCCAACAAATTTAAACTACTGTCTTTAGAGAGGAATAAACCAGACACATAATTATGTTCTACTACAGCAACCAGTGTTACCTGTTAGAGGCAAAACTGGTTTTCTCTTTATTTGTTTCTCTTGTGGAATTTAATACTTTTTTTTGCCTTTATGTTCCTCATGAAAATACCTTTTCAATTCCAGAACCTAAGAAGCCACCTGTATTTGATCAGCACCTTACTCCAGTAACAGTGAGTGAAGGAGAATACGTGCAGCTCAGCTGCCATGTCCAGGGATCTGAGCCAATTAGGATCCAGTGGTTGAAGGCTGGCAGGGAAATAAAGCCTTCAGACAGATGCAGCTTCAGCTTTGCTAGTGGGACAGCTGTACTGGAACTCAGAGATGTGGCTAAAGCAGATTCGGGAGATTATGTGTGTAAAGCTTCAAATGTGGCTGGAAGTGACACTACCAAATCAAAAGTGACCATTAAAGGTACAGACACCTCAAAAGTATTATGCAGTTCAAGCCAGCCACCACTCATGTTTATTTGCTTATTACAATTTCACTAGAAATGGAATCAGATTTTTAGAAATATCAGTTGTTGCTCATCTGCAATTTGTAGGCTCCTTATTTTAATTGAAATATTAGATAATTTAACAGAAATAATGTCAATACAAAGTATCTGAAATTATTACAAGTTTACCACTCTTCTTGAACCTCTTTTCACCATATCCAGTAAGATTTAATTAATGCAGTTCCAAAAATGATGCTATAATAATGTGATAGAAAGTAGGCTGGTGTGATACACCTGGAAAAAATAAAACCAGGTCTAAAAATATTGACACTACTAACATGATTATAGTTCAACCTTTGATAGCTATCATTAGCATAAATGTCTGAGAAGCTGCTTTATCTTCTGTAACCCACCGTTACATAGGAAGAGAATTCTGCAGTACTTACTTATCACACTGCCAACCTCCTAAGGCTTATTTTAAAAAGGGGGATATTTATTACAATTCTGAGGTGATTGTAGTAACAAAACATGTAAACGTTTTTTCAGACAAACCAGCTGTGGCCCCAGCAGCCAAGAAAGCTGCAGTAGATGGAAGACTCTTTTTTGTGTCAGAACCTCAGAGTATCAGAGTCGTAGAAAGTAAGTGTACTTCATGAGAAGTACATCTTCATCTATCTGGTACCTTTTACTTATGATTTAATTTTGGAAGAATTGATTTTAGAAAATTAAATTTTTATTCATTTGTCTTCATTATTCCTTAGAAACCACTGCAACCTTCATTGCAAAAGTTGGAGGTGACCCAATCCCAAATGTTAAATGGACAAAAGGGAAGTGGAGACAGCTGAACCAAGGAGGTCGTGTTTTCATCCACCAAAAAGGCGATGAAGCAAAACTGGAGATTAGAGACACCACAAAAACTGATTCTGGGTTATACCGATGCGTGGCATTTAACAAACATGGTGAAATTGAAAGTAACGTTAACTTACAGGTGGATGAAAGGAAGAAACAAGAGAAAATTGAAGGCGATCTTAGAGCAATGCTGAAAAAGTGAGTTCAATAAAAACCACAAATTGTACAGTCAGCCCTCGGTGTAAGCGGGTTCCGCATCCACAGTCAACCAGCCCCAGTGGAAAGTTTTAAAGAACAAAAATTTTAAAAATACAAATAAACAATACAGCATAACAACCATTTACACAGCACTTACATTGTGTTAGATATTATAAGTAATCTAGAGATGAAGTATACAGGAGGATGTGCATAGGTTACATGCAAATACTATGCCATTTTACATCAGGGACTTCAGCATCTAGCCACAGGCCTCTTGAAGCCAATCTCCTGTGCATTCAGAGGGACAACTGTAATGTCCCATTCACAAAAGGAATCTCTCAAAAGGCATGGGCCATCCATGTCATGATTCAGATTGTTAAAAAAACATAGGCATATAGACATTTTAACAGAAGCAGATAAGCAAAAACATCTGGGTGTTCTTGTTTCATTAGAATCAATTTCTGAATGTAAGAGAAAGTTTTAAGAATGAGGTGAATGTCTATTAAGATTTTTAAACAAAAAGAAATGCCCTAAAGAAACCCTAGTGTTGTCTGTGCCTAGGTATGAAATTTTTGTTTCTATATATAATTTCTTATGTTATGAATGGTTCTCTAAAACAACTGTTTTAAACATTTTCCATAATTATCATCCATTTCAATATGGTTTATTTTTCAACATAATTATTGAATTAAATCCACACTCAATTCCCATAAATCTTTTCCATGAGATGTATACTATTCTATTATTAAAGTTTTCCATTGCTATTATTATTTTTTCTGATATTATAATTCATTAACTAGGCTCTTTGGTTATGAAGTTTACAGAAATACTTCTATTACTCTTTCCTTTCTTAAAATTTTTGATCCAATGTCTATATTTTATAACAATGGTCCTAATCCATCTGATTTTAATCCACTCCATCTCCAAACCCACATTTTAAAATTATTTCACAGCTAACATGGTAAAATTAATATTTATTGAATAAAGAACAAGAAAACCTTAATGAAGTACATAATCTTTGAATGATGATAGATAATTAAAAATAAATAGAAGACAGGTGATTTATCCTTACTTTTTAAATTTTATTTAGGACTCCAATCTTAAAGAAAGCTGGGGAAGAAGAGGAAATTGATATCATGGAACTTCTCAAAAATGTTGATCCTAAAGAATATGAAAAATATGCCCGCATGTATGGAATCACTGACTTCCGAGGTCTTCTTCAAGCATTTGAACTGCTCAAGCAAAGCCAAGAAGAAGAGACACATAGACTGGTATGCTCCTTCATATATAGCATCATCCTAAAAAAGTCACATTTAAAACATCTCACACATTCCCTTTGAATTACCAGAATCCTATAGTTACATGACATCATTTAATATGACCTAACCAGCATCCAGAATGGAAGTTGAATATAGTCATGCATCCTCTAAATCAAATTTTTTTTCATATGTAATACCTATCATTTTTGTTCTTCTCAGGAAATTGAAGAAATAGAGAGGTCAGAGAAGGACGAAAAGGAATTTGAGGAACTTGTATCATTTATTCAGCAAAGACTGTCACAGACAGAGGTAAAAAGAATTATGCTGATAATAAAATGAACAAGTTAGGATTGAGTATTATTATAATGGAAGGAGTAACAAATGTGTTTTAATTCTTTATTCTCCTAGCCTGTCACTCTGATCAAAGACATCGAAAATCAGACAGTTTTGAAAGATAATGATGCTGTCTTTGAAATTGACATTAAAATTAATTATCCAGAAATCAAGCTTTCATGGTACAAAGGAACTCAAAAACTGGAACCCAGTGATAAATTTGAAATAAGCATCGATGGTGACCGACATACACTCAGAGTCAAAAACTGTCAACTTAAAGACCAGGGCAATTATCGATTGGTTTGTGGTCCACACATCGCTAGCGCTAAACTAACTGTAATTGGTAAGTTAGAAAAGGCTTATGAAATACTTGTGAGATTTAAATTACTGTTGAGCACATCTGCGTGTGATACTGAACAAAATGTGTGTTGTATCACATGAACAGAGCCTGCGTGGGAACGGCATCTTCAGGATGTGACTCTGAAAGAAGGCCAGACTTGCACCATGACATGCCAGTTTTCTGTACCAAATGTAAAATCTGAATGGTTCAGAAATGGCAGAATCCTTAAACCCCAAGGTAGACATAAAACAGAAGTGGAACACAAAGTCCACAAATTGACCATTGCAGATGTTCGAGCAGAAGACCAGGGTCAGTACACCTGCAAATATGAAGACCTTGAAACTTCAGCAGAACTGAGAATCGAAGGTGCGTGAAACACTGTGGAGTCCTTGTGGTACAGCATAGGTCAATGGCAAATGTTGTGCAGGACGCCTGCAGCCCTGCCTTTACATACACATCAAAGTGGTCATGTGTTCTTATTTCCCAACACACGTTCTCATAGTATTCACTCACATCTCAAAGTTCATACAGAAGCACACGGGAAATATTCAAATGAGTGTCAATTCTTTTGCGTCATTCTTTTAGATTTTAATCTAGTCTAAGACATAATCTTTAACAGTAATTTCTGTCTAAAGTCTAAATTTCATGATTCTCATATCTAGGATTGTAGAAAGAAATCTAGGAAAGGACAAGATCTCATAGCTGTAAATCTGGAGGATCTTGGTTAGGAATTGATATTTTGTTTATAGGACATAGTCTGACTTTCTCTGTACAAAATTATGTAGATAAAATTAACATGTCATGTGCAATTAGCAATTATTTTTCAAAAAATATTTATTTCATTTTCAGATCATGTTTCAACCTTCTGAATCTCTGAAATTAAGTGAAATCTCAGAATTTAGGAGCAACAACATTCATTTCCTAATTGATTATATGCATTTTCCAAAGACACCCTCAAACTGTATTGAGAAAAATTTTGGTTATAATAGCATCTGCTTTCAGCTATTGGTGCCCATTTGTATTTGCTGAAACACAAATATATGACATTCGATTTACATAAACATGTCAACTTTTCTGGCTTACCTTACAATGAATATCAGTGACTGGTTGTATTTTAAATGATTTTCAAAGTAAAGGTCCAGCTGCGAGTACTAATTATTTTTTAAATAATTGATATTTTTAATATAATTATTTAGTAAATAGAGTTCACCAGAGTACTGTGATTTCTAAGATTTTATGGTACTGTTATACATATAAGACCCTCCCCTCCATCCTCTTCTAGAAAACACTCCTGCCATCCACACAGATCCTTTATTTGTGCCCCTATGTACTTAGCAGATTTCCGAACTCTAAAATTTTTTTGTGAAATTTAGAAGTGCAGATTTCCTATTGAGTTTGAAATTATTTTACAAGAAAAGTTATACATATTAGATAAACAATTCTAGATCCTGAGTAACAGAAATCATTTTACCGAGGCAAGAAAGAATTTCACAGAGGAATAAGTTACAGAGTACAATTAAGTTTGTGTACCCTAACACTTTTAAAACTTAATTTGACTTTGGGTCATAAGCTCTCTTTAATATGTCCTTTATGTAAATATTTTAAGGACTCACAATAATTTCTTTACACTTTGCTACATTCGTCCGGCAGGAATACACTTAAGAATTGGGATACTTTTTTGTTAGTGATGCAAAGAAGTGTGCATTTCTTTTCATTTTGGATTTTTTAACTTTTCTTGCTATTTTATAACTGGGTACAAAGATGGAGATTTTAAGTATCTGAGGCAAAAGCAAGTAAAAGAAATTCCTCTCTATATAACCTAGCTTTGAACTCTCTTTGTACTTAAACAGCTGAACCAATTCAGTTTACAAAGCGTATACAGAACATTGTGGTGAGTGAGCATCAGTCTGCCACCTTCGAGTGTGAAGTGTCCTTTGATGACGCCATTGTAACATGGTACAAAGGACCAACAGAACTGACAGAGAGCCAGAAGTACAACTTCAGGAATGACGGTCGCTGCCATTATATGACCATCCACAACGTGACCCCAGATGATGAAGGTGATTTCATTGACAGTTTTCCAGTGAATGTATAATTGAAGGCTCATCTGTTTTCTGTATTTCTACCCTGTATGCGCTCATGCTCTAATTCTATCTAGAATGCTTTTTTAGAAAAGACAAGTGTAAATAAACACGTACATATATTGAAGTAAAGAAGTGTTATTTGCAACATATCAGAAAACAAAAGTTGGATGATTTTTCTCCCTAGGTGTCTACTCGGTCATCGCTCGGCTGGAGCCAAGAGGTGAAGCAAGAAGCACGGCAGAGTTATACCTAACGACGAAAGGTGAGGGAGCGCCATCTGAAAGCCACCCTGCCATCTTTGAAACACGTAGCCTACCTATACCATTCTCAACACAAAAATACCATTTTTTTTTTATTTTGCAGAAATCAAACTTGAGCTAAAGCCTCCTGGTAAGTTGTTTTGTAAAAATCAATCCTTGCTTACAATAAATTCAGCATAATTTTGTAAATCACAGAAGCCAAACTAAAACGTATAAGATATCTTTCTCTTTGGGATAAAATATTTTTCAATAAAAGTGTTATTCAGTCAAATTACTTTCAGTCAAATAATAAAATGTTAAACTTTGTGAGTATGGCAAATCAGAGATAATAAGGTCTCACTCAGCTGATGCTAGAATCATGCCAAACAGAATGGCCACAGAATGAAACAAATTTTGACAGCAAACAAAACTTACCTATGTGGCTGCATACAAAAGAATACTAATATTATTTTGTCTGTATGTTAGGTTCTTCCATTAGATATGCCTGACATATCTTAGGGTCTAATAAATAGCTTGTTCTCAGTCTCTCTATGCTTATCATTACATGTCCCTTTCCAGATATTCCTGACTCCAGAGTTCCAATCCCAACCATGCCTATTAGAGCAGTACCACCAGAAGGTAAGACCCAGAACCTCAGCATCTGAGCTTGCAGCAGCAATATTCTAGCACTACGAATCTGTACAAAACTTTATACCAACGCCCAAACTGCAGCAGAGTCAGAACAAACCCTTCCATGTTGTATTCTTCAGTGAGCAATTAGAAATTAAAGTAAAAAAAAACAAAGTAGTTCCAGTAATAAATAGATGCTACTTTTATTTGTTCTGATTGACGAATTGGTACTATAATACCTTTGAAGTACTGAAAGAAATGCATGAGACTATTCATTATATTTTACGCAAAATAGGAAACTAAAACGTTACTAACGGCATTTATTTTCTTCAGAAATCCCTCCTGTGGTTGCTCCTCCTATCCCCCTTTTGCTACCAACACCCGAAGAAAAGAAACCACCAGCAAAACGTATTGAAGGTATTATACCTCATCTACCTAGACGTCGAAATAAGAATTTCACTCTGCTGACCCGAAAAATGTTGCTTAATACAACACATTGGCCCTCTAGTGGTCAAGAGGTGGAATTGCCTTTCAAAATGTAAATTATTTTCTCAAAGTATTAGCTAACTAAATGTGTAAGTCATGTGCTTAAAACTCTGAAAATCATCAAACAAAATACTATGTTGCTATTAAAATATTTTATTTTAATGGAATTACTGAAACATTAATGTAGAATTAATTTTATGTTTCGTATTTTCTTAACTACTAAGTATAACAAAAAGAATAATGGAACCAATTTCTAGTGCAGCTTATGGAAATAAACCATAGTAGTTTACAGTTAAATTGCAAATTATAGCTTGTGATTCTTCTCAATTTGTAGTATTAACTACTCTTTAAATTTTACTATTTTGTCACAAAAAATATGATTTAGAATACTAATGAAATATTTGACTTCTTTTGTACCTAAGGCATGATCTCACCAATAAAGAAATCTTAAGCGTTCCAAGGAATTGCTCCTCTCAAATATTCAGCAGAGAAATTGTACTATTTGTGTCCCAAAGTTTCTCAACTAAATTAGACAACAGATTTCCTGGGACTTTCTGGAGTTACAGGGAGTTCAGAAATGCTGTCAGAATTCTCCCAGCATGGTCAGAAAAAAATTCTGTGTGTCAAAATCACACTTTTCTATAGCTAAGTCACTACCACTGTAGTAGATTCAAGGGGTGGACATGGTAGCCCCTTAACATCCACTACAATTGGCATTAAAAGTTTGACCTATTTTTCAAGCCAGTCTTAGAGGAAATTCAGTTATAAACTTCCAATTTTGTGACTAATGCAACCTCATTAACAAAGAGAAGCATTTTTATGATTCATACCAACATAAACATTTTATCAAGCTGTGAGAACAGGGAGGAACAAGAATCAACGATCATAAATTGGATTTCCATTTCTATTTCTGTTATCAAAAATAATAACTTATATTAATGAATGATTTGTTCTTTGACTGGTAGTATCAACATAGCTAAGTTTGAGAACTCACTGTGAAACTTGAGAAGTTAAATAATGTTTTAAAAATTAAGAGAGAGTGTTCTTTATTCATGAATACGAGAGGCCATAATCAAGTATGATTAGGAAATGTGGTTAAGGTATAACAGCAGCACAACAAAGGACTTTAAACCCACTTGTTACTCTTCCTCCTAACATATTTGTGTTCATCCCTAAGTGAAACAAGGATGAAAATGTGTACTTTTCTATTTATGATATCGCTTAGATTCACACCCCATGTTCTGAAAACTTTAACTCTCAGCAGACACAAAATCAGTGAAGATGTAAGATCACAGTACATTTTCTATATCCCTCCAAAACAATTTTTTTGCATCTAGTCCTAGATCTTTCCAAAACAAATATCTTGTAGTAATGTGCAGAAGCTCACTACTATCAACATTTGGAAAAATAAAATATTTCAATGAAATTCCTAGTTTCCTGAAAGCATTTTAGTTACTTATACCAGAAATCTTTTTATTATTATTTTTTTTTAGTTACCAAAAAGGCTGTGAAGAAAGATGCCAAAAAAGTTGTTGCAAAGCCCAAAGAAGAGGTGACACCACGTGAAGGTATTATAATTAATGAAAAAGCAGTCTTAATACTTTTTTCTTGGCTAAAACTTTTAAATCCTAAATAGTGGAGGGTGAAGGAAGGGTAAGAATTTGCAATCACAAAATGGTACCTCTCCCTTCACTCACTTTCACCCTCTTTGACTCAGTCCTCACTCTCTCTTTCTCAACTTCCTTTTTTCTCCCTTTTCTCTTTCCTGTCCTCCTGAGCCCCTGGGAACCAATGACAACACCAGTGTATTCTGGTTTTTTCTGGATGATAATTTAAAGAAGGTCTTGCCCGGAAGTCCAACAGCTATTCTTTTTTTTTCTTTTTTATTTTATTGTAAATTGACGATTTACTATTGTGTATATATTTACGGGGTACAAAGTGATGTTATGATCTGTGAATACAATATGGAATAATTAAATCAAGCCAATTAACATATCCATCACCTCAAATACTTAACATTTTTGTGGTGAGAATATTTGAAATTTACTCTTCAGCGAATTTGAAATATACAATACACTATTATTAACTCTATTCACCACTCTGTACAACAGATCTCAAGAAAAGCCATATTTCTCCTGTCTAGTTAAGATTTTGTACCCTTTGACCAACATTTCCCCATTCCCTCAAATTCCCAGCCTCTGTAACCATCATTCTACACTTTATGAGTTCAACTTTTTAGTTCCACATCTAAGTGAGAACTTACAGTCTTTGTCTTTCTGTGCCTGGCTTATTTCACTTAGCATAATCTCCAATTCTATCCATGTTGTCACAAATTACAAAATTCCCTTTTTTTAATAAGGCTGAATAGTATTCCACTGTGTATGTACGTACCACCTTTTCCTTATCTATTCATCCACTGATGGACACTTAGGGTGTTTCCATGACTTGGTCTTTGTGAATAATGCTGTAATGAACATGGAAGTGCCCAACAGCTGGTCTTGATAAAGTCACATCAATAGAAGAGCAAGGGTTGGTGCTAATTTTAAGAGGTTGCTGCAACCTACCTCAGTGTCCTTCCTGATTTAGGTGATCTAAATATCAATATTTGAAGAAAAAATACTTTATGAAGGAGGATCAATTCAAATCACTTTAACTTTCAATATATCCTGGGAGATTTTTAGGAAAATAGTTGGATAACTAAATTTAAACAAATAGTTTTAACCCATTTGACTAAGATTAGAGTACAGCATCCTCCATAAAGAAGGAAAATATGGAAGCACAAGGCATCATTTATCATTCAGACTTTTCTGAGTGGTCATTTGTGAAACATCACGGAATAAGAGGACACTCAAAAAGCATGGATATTTCGTGAACTTTATAGTTAATAATTGAAAATGTCTAATGCATTATTTTTAGCATTGGACATATTAAATATTCTCTTCATGCTTAATGTTAACTTATTATAAATCAATCTAAACTAGAATCAAACTTTGGCCTTTTGCATGTTTGTTTTTTGTTAATATGGCATTGCATAGCATTTCTAATGAGCTAGATTTGGAAATTATAAAAGCATTATTATGATTCCTGGAAAGGCTGGTGTATTTGTAGTAGTCATAGCTCCTACAAACAACTAACAATGATATGCAGGATTAGTAAACATTAGTAATAATGTAATCTAAAAATAAACACCCATTTTTATGTTTTTAAACTCCCAGAGCTTGTCAAGAAGCCTCCACCTCCTACTACCTTAATTCCAGCAAAAGGTAAATAAAGAGAAATTATTTTTATTCTGTTTATTCCTGAGATTTGCACTTCTGCTGACTATTCTTATTTTAAATATTAGGCTTCCAACTTATTGCAAAGTTGTGGAGTCTCCTCTGCTGTGTTAAATTTAGCATTAGAAATGATGGCTATTTCATATTGCCCCTTTCCCAGGAAAAGAAACCCAGGCAGATGTTTATGCTGCCTCTGTGCAATGGTCTCAGAGAAAGAAGCAGTGAGGGCTCAAAAGGAGGGGCCATTCCTTAGTTTTTTAATTGTAGTTAACACAAATGTTAAGAGTCATATAAATAATGAGAGCCCTTAAGAACTTTTAAAATCTGTTATCTAAAAGTACCTAATTAACTTGGTTACATAATTTTAAATGTTGTTTTTATTAAATGACTAAGGGACCCTATGCAATAGTCAAAAATGTAGGTTTAAAATTAGAAATGTGTTTGAAATCATAATCAGAACTTTTTAAAAAGGTTAACTGTTTAAGTATTAAATATAAATTCCATAAACTTATCGAATGTTAAAACTATTCCATTGGAAGAAACTAGGGGTTCTGCAAACTGGAGCTCTCATGGAATAATGGAAGTTGTGTCCATTTGATAATATTTATTGAATCCATTTTTTCACACTGGAAAAAATCCTCAAATCAACAGTAGAATGTATCTTGATACTCTACTGTGTTCCGTAGTCAAAAATTTAAATGGAACCAATACAAAAAAAAAAAAAGGATTCTCAATAAAATAGATCTGAAATACTGATGTTGTTTAGGTAGATTTTTGTTTAGTGAAGCAGTTGGATGGATAGAATTAATGTGCTAATAGTCTCTTTATCTATTTTAGGTCCTGAAATCATTGATGTATCCTCTAAAGCTGAAGAAGTAAAAATAATGACTATAACCAGAAAGCAAGAGGTTCAGAAAGAAAAAGAAGCTGTGTATGAGAAAAAGCAAGCAGTCCACAAGGAGAAGAGAGTTTTCATTGAATCTTTCGAAGAACCTTATGACGAACTGGAGGTAGAACCATACACAGAGCCATTTGAACAACCTTATTATGAAGAACCAGATGAATACTATGAAGAGACCAAGGTAGAAGCTAAAAGGGAAGTTCATGAGGAATGGGAAGAAGATTTTGAAGAAGGGCAAGAATACTATGAAAGGGAAGAAGGCTATGACGAAGGGGAGGAAGAGTGGGAAGAGGCTTACCAAGAAAGGGAAGTAATTCAAGTTCAAAAGGAGGTCTATGAAGGTATGTATAAACTGAATGATTTGTTTCCCTCTTTTCTTCATTTTTGCTCAGTTCATTAAATTGTCAATGCTATGAACCTGATTTGCAGTTTATGTGAAATAGATAAAATGATCTTGGATTTTTTTAAGGTTAGAAATCTTTTAAAAGTTATTTTCTTCAGAGTTACTTTCATGCTTTGACATTACAAGCTAAATCATTTAGTCTTATTACTAACACTAAATTCCAAGTGCTAATTTCTAATGCAGAAGTTCAAGTTTTACTTTTACTGCCTTGTTGCATCTCTGCTTGATCCTGCTTCAAAACCTAGCACTAAGAATTGTGTTGGTAATAACGATCCCAAAATTATATATTATCCTTACCTTATCTCATTTGGAATTAACACAACCTAAGAGAACTTATTTAAGCATCCCTTCTTATTCCTGTGTTTTTATTAAAGAATCACATGAGAGAAAAGTTCCAGCCAAAGTACCTGAAAAGAAAGCACCACCACCTCCTAAAGGTAAGTAATTGGAAATATTTAAATAGACTAGAGCATCGACATCATTATCATGGCTTGTTTGGCAGCAATGTATAAATCAGCAGTTCAATCCAATAGGCACAACTTCTTCTCTAAGCTTTATTGTGAATGATTTTTTTTCTTAAAATTTCTATCTAATTCATTTAATTTAAAAAATCAAAAGATGATAAAAATTGTAATAGTAAACTTAAATATAGCCAAAATATGTTAAGTACAGAAACTTGTACCCGACGTTCAAAGTTGTGCATAAAGGTCAAAGCACCAAACTCGTCTCTCTCTTTAAAAAATGATACATATATCTGCATATATACATATAGGTGTGTATAAACACAGAGCGAGAGAGACAGAGAGAGAGAGATTTTTAATAGGAATTCTAAAAGTACTGCAATTTCTTTAAAATGCTTGCAGTTATAAAGAAGCCAGTAATTGAAAAAATTGAAAAGACTTCTCGAAGAATGGAGGAAGAAAAAGTTCAAGTCACCAAAGGTATTATCATTTCAAACGTTCCTAGCACCCATGTACACAAGTAATGTGTTTACTGATCTATACTCACGTTAGTTCTTTATATAATCAAATACTTTTAAATTTTGTGCAAAGCAACATTCTTCAAAATACAAATATATTTGTACATATTTTTAAAGTACCTGAAGTTTCAAAGAAGATTGTTCCACAAAAACCTTCCCGGACTCCAGTACAGGAAGAAGTTATTGAAGTGAAAGGTATACATCTTTGTTTTTCAGCTACAAGTTCAAATTTTTTTTATTTATGTGTATGGACATGTGTACATATATTGCTAAGTAACTCACAAATCTGAAACGACCAAAAAAAACACATTTTTACATAATACAAGTCTTACGTTGAGTTGCACATATGTTCAATTTAAATAATAACATTATCTACTTTGTTTCTAGTTCTGCTTAAAAATTACATTTTTTATTATAAGGAAGGTTTGTGTTTAATCAGTAGTTTGCTAACTTTACTATGCAATGCATTCCATTGCATATAATATTCCCTGTCCTCTTATTTATAGAAATAGACCCTAACAGATTTGGAAAAGCACAACATTGTGTGTGAAGAAGTTGTGTCTATTTGATTCTCACTTAAGAACGTTTGATGAAGGCTGCATGTGTTGTTTGTCCCTATAGATCAAAAGATGATTTGTTTTCTTGTCAATACTGAATTTGTTCTCAAGCTACCATATTAACCCACTCATTCTGTGTCGAAATACTTGAGTATAAAATCCATGTGTTTGATCTGATGTCTTGTACTAAAAAAAGAAATACTAATGTGAAATACTCTCTTTAAAGTACCAGCTGTGCATACAAAGAAGATGGTTATTTCAGAAGAAAAGATGTTCTTTGCTTCTCACACAGAGGAGGAGGTGTCAGTCACAGGTATAAGGCAAACTGGAATGTGGGGGCTCAAATGGAAGGGTTTTAGGCAGATTTTTATCCCTCTTGTTTAATTTGTGATCATGTAGACATTTCTGTCTCTTTGTAAATTCTCTGTCATCTTTTTCATTTCATGTTTGTCTCTGTTTTCATTTTATTTTAATGTTCTTTGTAAATTACAATTACCACCCACAACATGGCATATCAGTAATTACAATGTACATTTTTTAAGTCCCTGAGGTACAAAAGGAAACTGTTACTGAAGAGAAAATTCACGTTGCTGTTTCCAAAAGGGTTGAACCACCACCTAAAGGTATTATTAATTCATTCTAAGTTTAAACTAGTCTTTTAATAAAAGTTAGTACAAAGTCCATAGTAAACATTTATGTTAGTATTAAATAACAGATTTAGTCACAGTCTGCATACCTGTAGCCACTATGTACAAAGGATGTGATGGGGGACAGGAAGAACCATGAGGAAGGCACAGGGGAGAAAAGCGAAAATTACTGGAGGCTCCATTCCCAGATTCAGAGAGTTTGCAATCTCATCACCTGTTATTTGGAAATACAGTGTCCTGGAGCTAGTTCATACCAGCTCACCAGTGCCTATGGTTACATTTTCAGGAATTTTGCTAGCCAGAAGTTTAACACCGCCATTATTAAAAATTAGATTATGTAAAGTTACAGTCCAATAAAGTATATTTTTAAATGTTAATAAATACTCAAAACTTATTACTTCCTATTTTACGGCATTTTGTTCTTATCTGTGTTTCTGAGATTGTTTCTATCTTTGTGTCTGTGTGGTGGAAATACCATATAATGTACTACTGCAAGTCTCTTTCCAACTCAAGGACAATGACATCACCTTTATAGCCAGGGTGGGAGGGAGTGTTTACACCACCTTGGAAATCGGAAATCTGCAAGCACTATAGATCAAGCCTCCACCCCCTCCATCCCAGCCAAATTGTTGAACATTTAAGACACAAAAAATTCGAATGCAATTGTGTTTATGAAACTGCTTTATAAAAGTAAAGGTTACAAAAAAAAAACCTAACTTCATAGTTATTGATGTTCGTAAAAAGCTGGTTTCTGAGGAACCGACACAGGCACCTCCGAGGGAGGGTTGCTCCTACCTGTTCGTGACAAAGTGGAGGCTTCTGCAGTTAAAGGTGACAGCAGTCACATTTTCTAATTAGCCATTCAGCCATCTTCATTTGCCCTCATTTCTAAAGCATAATTTTCTTGCATTCAATTGGTATAAAAAGGGAATCTCTATTTTTTTTAATTCTAAGTCTTACAACAACATATGCCTTGTCAAATGCACACTTTCTCAAAAATGGTACATTTCTTTTAAAGTCCCTGAGCTACCTAAGAAACCAGTTCCAGAAGAAGCGGTCCCTGTTCCCATTCCTAAAAAAGTGGAGCCCCCAGCACCAAAAGGTAGAATAATATTTGTGAAAAAAATAATTATTAGCATCCATCTTGTATCTTTTTCTATGAGATCTGTGTATTAACAAAACAGCATCTGCAAACCATCTATAATATATTTAATTCCATGTATATTGATTTCATTTATTTGTGGTAATGTGTTATACAAGTATTGATAACATTTCTAGACTCCAGATCATGCTAACTGGGTCTTTGTCTGCTTGTGTAATGTATGTAATGTCTACATGGTGTTGAGGTATTTAGCATTCATTTCTATCACAAACAGGCATATTTAAATTACTTCCTAATTCTCACACTCTTAGTGAAGATTTATGCTTTAATGTAATCTTAAATGTCCCAGAAGGAGACTAGAATATTCCACATTATTTCAACAATTGTATCTCTAAAGTTCCTGAGGTTCCCAAGAAACCCGTGCCAGAGGAGAAAAAGCCAGTTCCTGTGCCTAAGAAGGAACCTGCTGCTCCCCCGAAAGGTACACCAGAGCCCATGATGGGGAGACTCTTTGCTCCAAGTGCCAGCCTTTTGCTTTCTGCGATCTTCATGTGTACTATGCTGCCTTTGTCTTTGTCTCTTGTACATTCTCCTCCTGTTTTTAGTGTTTGTCCACTTCCGTGCCATGCTCTTGACATACTTTGTTTATTATACTGAATATTCCTAAGACATCACCAAAAAGTGTTGTTAAAGCAAGTAACTATGTGAAACTGCTATCTTACATTTTTAATATCTTCCCTCTCTTAGAGAAAGAGGAAATGCTTGTGAAACTTGTTTTCTACATGTTTCTAGGAAAAAACTTTCATCCTTCATAAATGCAACTTTTTCTTAGTAAAAGCAGTTTCATGCATTATGAAGAGGTGTGGGCAATGATAACCGTAGAGTGTCTGGCAGAACTAGTTGTTAATTACATAAAGACGTACATAGTACCACACTTCTTAAAAGTCAATAGTGGTGAGTCTTCAATAGTGGGGAACATATAGGTTTTTTGAAGTTTACTTTCACCATTTTCTTGAGACCTTAACTGAGCTTCAGTATTTGCCGTAAATGTTTCAGTTATCTAATTAGCTAGTCAAAGGACCTTTCATAGAGGTATGTTTGAATGAAAATGTACTGCTCTGGTATATCACAAACCCCTTGCTTTCGTTCGTTTGGGATTTTTTGGTGATAAAAGGCACTATCTTCTTGAAGCACTGAAACTACAATTACACATATCTGTTCAGCTATAGAAAGACTCAGCAAGAATTCAACAACATCCAATTTAGGAGAAACCAGACCTAACTAAAACAGTACATTTTGAATAGTGTTCCCTTGGCCTGACTTTGCAATGTTTCTATTTTCTTCCTGAATCAAATATGCTTATCTCTTTCTCAAACTCTTGGCTCTTTCAAAATTCTTTTGATTATCTAACCATTAAATACAAATGTCATATTAGTAAAACCAATACTAATACTAAAGCTACGTGAGACAGATCATCTTAGATAAATTAAACCCATTGTTATTATGTACTATATTTCCCAATACAAAGCATAAAGAAGCTTTTCTACAAACTATCTGAATATTCTTGACTGTTTGTGTAATCACTAATTCGTTTTCAGCAAAGTCATATATGTCTTTTAAAGGAGACACAGAGGCATCTCTCATTTACTCATAAAAACAAATACACATAGTATAATAGCATGTATATATATAAATACTACATGTATATATAGCATAACACATACATAAAGAAATGAGCAGCTATATAATTACACCAAAATATTACAAATGCACGTGCAGAGGTGCAGGGATTCACAAAAGCTGCCAATACTGTATTTAAAATGAGAACAATTACTGCCAATAATGCATGCTGTTAAAATTTATCTTCCAATTAAAAAGTCAACATTATCCATTCTTAGAATAGATAAATCAAATACACTGTAAACATTTTTTAGGTTGAAAACCCTGTTGAAAACTCTAGAGCCCCTTAGAAAAAAAGCACAAATACACATACCCACAGAATTCTGTACACAAAGCTCTGTAAAGAGCTTATAACACTCATGGGTATCAGATGGAGAGACCTACTCTAGAGTAAGTGTTTCCTGAGTTTTGAATTCACTACAGGCACACCTACCAAAAATGAGAGGAGAAATGTGGGGAAAAGAAGTAAGTTATATATATATTCAACTATTCTAAGACTCTAAGGCTTCTTAGTCTTAGTCTAAAATAGTCTTACATAAACTAAAGCCATTGTTGTTATTTACTCCATTTCTCAATACAGAGCATAAAGAAGTTTTCTATATACTATATCCACATTCTTGATTGTTTGTGTAATCACTAATTTGTTTTTAGCAAGGTCATATCAATATATAAAGGATGAATTCTGTGCACAACTTTCTATTACGTAACTCATTTTTGCCTAAATGCCTCTAAAACATTATTTGTGATATTTGTCACATTATGATCCTTGGAATATTATAGTTAGCTTAATTTTCTGGATAATTTTGCTGATGCATAAATAATCTATAACAACATTAATGTACTACGTAAAGATTTGTGCATGTGCCCGTGTTCTTTCATAAAAGTGATATATGTCTGAACCAACATTGTGTTTCAAAAACTTTAAGTCCCAGAGGTGCCAAAGAAACCTGTCCCTGAAGAAAAGATTCCTGTTCCTGTTGCAAAGAAAAAGGAAGCTCCCCCAGCTAAAGGTACAGTGGCTTTCAAAGTAAAGAAGCCCTATCGTTTGTCTTTGATGCAAAATATTTTGTGTTTAATTATCTGTCCATTGAGTTACTTTAATTCTAAATGGATGTTTTGTGGTGAGAATTGAACAAAAGTGTCTATCTACCTGTCTGCTTTCTTAAAAAAGTAGCTGTGCATAGCTACTTTAGAAAATGTAAAGTCAATTCTAAAAATGTCTTTTCAAGTTCCTGAAGTACAGAAGAGAGTTGTGACAGAAGAAAAAATAACCATTGTAACTCAAAGAGAGGAATCTCCACCACCAGCAGGTACTTAATTCCATCTCCATGAAATAACCTCGTCTTTCCTTCAAGCTTCTTTAATTGCATGTCTCCTTTAATTACCACTTCTATATTGCTCATTTATTTGGACTTTTTGACAAATTTTAAAATTCAATACTATCCTTTAAGTGCCAGAAATACCAAAGAAGAAAGTTCCTGAAGAAAGAAAACCTGTTCCTCGGAAAGAGGAAGAAGTTCCACCACCAAAAGGTATTGTTTCTCCATCTTCCCAAGAACAGCCTTTATGTTCCAGTGAGTTTGTTAGTTTTGTGATATGAGTGCTTTGTGGGTGTATTTCTTTGTTTTGCGTTGGGCTTCACTGAGATCACATTAAATTTCTAAAAGTGCTTAATGTCTCTAAAGTGCCAGCTCTGCCTAAGAAGCCTGTCCCAGAGGAGAAAGTTGCAGTGCCAGTTCCTGTCGCTAAGAAAGCTCCTCCTCCCCGAGGTAGGATTTGCCTCAATCCTCTGACCAAAAAAAAAAAAAAAAAAAAATCTTCAAGTGTGTTAACTTCTTGCTTTTTCCATCTGGTCTGTGCTTGTACTGATCTGTTGTCTTACTTGCAGTGAAACTTTTTTGTTTATGTCCTTGTGATATGTAACTTGTTTTCCCATTTTGCTAGTCAAAGTGGTGTACGTGCAACTCTTCCCCAAATTCTAGAAAGTAAGAATTGTTAAAATTCTTGATTTTAAACTTCAATTTTAATACTTCCTTAAAGCTGAAGTCTCTAAGAAAACTGTTGTAGAAGAAAAAAGATTTGTTGCTGAAGAAAAACTATCCTTCGCAGTTCCTCAAAGAGTGGAAGTCACGCGGCACGAAGGTATATAATTGGAAGTCAGGGGATAAATGAGTTTGTGTTTCCTCAAAGTCTCTTCTTCTTCCACATGTGATTGCTTACCTTAGAACGTGTCCTCATCAGTTATTTCTCCTTATGTTGGTATTAGAATGTGTCTACCTTTTGTAGCCTTCTGGGACTGAGTCTTCTGTGTCTATGTTGGTCTTGAATCATTCGAAGGAAGTGGATGAGTCCCGAAAATGTTATAATTTTGAAAGTGGCCACACTTGGACATAACTCGAGTATCATTCTCAGTCTTGGGCCGTACTTGCCCTCATCTTAAATTAGCTTCCTCCTTCTTGTAGTGAGGAAGAACCATGAAGCTATGTCCTAAGCAAATAGAGGAACAGTCATCCATCTGTAGTGACCACATGGCTGTATATACATCTGTATCTCAGCAGGCTGACTTTAAATGAAACCTTATCTTTTAAAGTATCTGCAGAGGAGGAATGGAGTTATTCAGAAGAGGAGGAAGGTGTGTCCATTTCAGTTTATAGAGAAGAAGAAAGAGAGGAGGAGGAAGAAGCGGAGGTTACAGAATATGAAGGTAAACAATGGAGAGATGATCTGGGGTTTTGATGAGGTGTTTTCTTTCACAAACTGTTTACAGACCAATGAAAAGGGACACAAAAAGTGACACAAATTCAGTGAACATCTACCAGTCTCATTAAATGAATATTTTGATCAAAACAAAAGATTCAGGAGGATTATACTAGATTCAAGAAATCCAGTGTATTTCTTGTGCATCCCTTCTTACTTGCCTATATAGAATAAAAGAGGCTTCATATTTATATATAATTAATCAGGGCAGGTATCTCCATATACATATATCCTTTCATTAAACAGGATTTGGCTTCAGCATGGAGGGCAGGCATAAGCTTTACCTTAGTAGTCTAATGCCTAATTGGTGTTTCTCAAGCATTGCTTGTACCACAATCCACAGACAAAAATATATTTTATATTATAATCCTACACACATGTGCAAACCAGAAAACTTTAATTTTTTTATTTTAGTCATTTAAAAAATACAAGCTATAATCCATTAAGTCAATTGCAGAAGTCACTATAATGTCTTGACTGACAGTTTTAAAATGAACAAGAAAATATATTACCTCATTACATTCCAGGAGTCAATGCCATATTTGTGAGTCTGAACCACTGAACACATACGGCTTTCCTGTATTTTACATATGGAGAAAACAATTGTGTTATATATGTGATCAGACTGACTTGTTACTCAGATCTTTTCATACCTATAATGCTAATTATCTATAGTTTCTTAAGGACAGAACCAACAAACTATTCCATTGGGATATCTTTTCAATGAATTAAGGCGGGTTTCCAGCTAAAATCCAGCATTCTGGCTAAAGCCATATGGCCAAAAGAAGTTTCCTAAGAAAGTTCCTAAGGTCTGCTTTTAAAGAGAAATCAATAAGCTCCTTAACCAAACTCTCTTCCCAGTGAGAAGATGAGTAGAATTGAAGTACATTTAGATGCCCTAAGTATCTGTTTTTATCTGCCTAATAAAAGATGGCACACTATGCCCCTTTTTTCACTTGGAACAAAAGCCCATGTAAAAATCCAAGGTGCATAGTCTTAATGGAATGCCTTGGAATAGGCCAAGATGGGACACGACTCCCAGGAGGAAATCCGTTAGTTCTGTTGTGCTTCCTGGAAGAGGCCATGATGGTGGACAGAAGTCAGGAAGCTGGTAGATTTGAAGACGACTCCATCTTTTCTAAAAGTGTTCATAAAACCAAACATGGTCTGATTTCAACTTTTGACACTATAAACTTCCTTTAGTGCTCCAGACTCTAGTTAAAAGGAGAAACACTGATTATTTTTAGGTTCTCATTAAGCCCCAAATATAGGTGGCTTGTTAGGTTTGCTTTCAGTGTAAGGAGCAGATATGTTTTTAACCAGACACTTCTATTCCTTATTTAAATTTGACCAGGCATGGTGGCTCATGCCTATAATCCTGGTGCTTTGGGAGACCGAGGAGGGAGGATTGCTTGAGCATAGGAGTTCAAGACCAGCCTGCGCAACACAGCAAGACCCCATTCTACAAAAATTGAAAAAAACAGCTAGGCACAGTGGCATGAGCCTGTAATCCCAGCTACTCAGGAGGCTGAGGCAGGACGATCATTTGCGCCCAGGAGTTTGAGGTTACAGTAAGCTGTGATTACACCACTGCACTTCAGCCTGGGCAACAAGGCAAGACCTTGTCTTAAAAAAGAAAAAAAAATTAAAACTGTATACACTTAGGCTCAAAAATCATGTGAAGCCTCCCGCCTTTTCTACCATACCTGCCCCACAAAACTGGCGGGGAAAACAACATGAAATATTATCTTGCAATTCACTTAAATCCTCAAGTATATGTTTCTGCCCTGTGGCCTTCAAATCTAGAGTGCTCTGTTATTTGTGAAACTCATCTTCAGATTCTTGTGTTCTTGTTAACTCAGCTGTTATAATCGCTTTTTGTCTTGTGCTTATCCTGTTGTTGCTGTGGATATAAGCATTATTATCTGTATGACACATGTGAAAATTAAGTTAATGAAACATAGTTCCCATTTCCCATACTCTTCATTAACACATATGCTTTGATTAAAATGCTCTTTGAGCATTTGAAATAGGAACACGCAGGGATTTGGCAAGGGTTAAACTTTTGCTATTTTAATTACTCTTTGAAGTGATAAATTAAAGCTAAAATTAAACATGAAAAACTCTGTAATTTACCTTCTTTAAAATTGCTGTCTTTAAAGTGATGCAAGAGCCTGAGGAATATGTTGTGGAAGAAAAGCTGCACATTATTTCTAAGAGAGTGGAAGCGGAGCCAGCTGAAGGTATACTGACTCTTCAATTAGTTTTATCCCTATGTTAGCTTGTCTCCTTTATGTTTTCTTTTAGCTAATTTGTCATCCATATTGCATATATTGATAAATATAATGTCTAATAAAAAGATCCCTTACACTTTTATCGAAAAGAAATCTGGACATTTCTACAAGTATATTTTATAATCTTTTCAAGTGACAGAGAGGCAGGAGAAGAAAATTGTACTGAAACCAAAAATTCCTGCTAAAATAGAGGAGCCTCCACCAGCTAAAGGTATGATTTCTTTCGAAGAAATGCAACACTATTTATTTTAATGTATATAATAATACCTTCATATTTGCATAACTGTCTTATGCATAACAATTTGCATAACTGTTTTATGCATAACAATTTGCATAACTGTCTACGTTTTGTCAGCACACATGTATGAACGTATTTACTGAGTATAGTCATTAATGTTTGTATATACGTGCAATCTTTTCAAAAAGTGAATTCTAAGCCCCAAAACTATATCACTTCATATGTAAGGCAAACTCATATTCTTAAATCTAATCTTTCTAAAGTTCCTGAAGCACCTAAGAAAATTGTGCCAGAAAAGAAAGTTCCTGCTCCAGTTCCTAAAAAGGAAAAGGTGCCCCCACCTAAAGGTACATTGGATTTTATTTTATTCTTCGAGACTGTCTTTTTTTTAATCTTAAATTGATACATTCTTCAGATTTTTTAAACATTAACAAGAAAATAAGTGTGCCAATGTTTAGTGTTTTCCATATCGTATGTTTGACGGTATTGCCTGGTATCTTTTAAGTGCCGGAAGAGCCAAAGAAACCAGTTCCAGAAAAAAAGGTTCCTCCAAAAGTCATTAAGATGGAAGAACCTCCACCAGCCGAAGGTAAACAAACCTCCCCAGTAGAAATACTAGGAACTTGTCTTTCTTTCTCTCTGCTGCTGTCCTTTGGGTCAAACCGTTTATATGTTGGTCGGTGACAATGGTGTCTTTGGGTGGAGTATTACTTGTGATGTTTATTTGTGTGTGCCTTGTAAATTCCTCTATTCTAAAATCACAGTACTTTCTGGCTAGTATATTTTTTACGTCCACTTTAAGATAACTCCCTATTCCTAAAATTATCTTTTAAGTGACTGAGAGGCACATGCAAATTACCCAGGAAGAAAAAGTTCTTGTTGCCGTAACTAAAAAAGAGGCGCCTCCAAGAGCAAGAGGTACACCCGCCCTTCCATTATGCACAATATTGTACTTGCCCTACTCTCTTTACCAAATACACTGGTTATGGGTGCTAGTTTTTGTTGTTGTTGTTGTTGTTGTTGTTGTTGTTGTTACAGTTGTTGTTTTATGTTTGAAATAATGAAAATGTCAAGTTTTTTGTTTGGGCTACTACTATATGGCTGCCTTTTTGTGGTTTGAAAGAGGGAAACAATATGTTAAAGTGAAATCTCTCTTTAAAGTGCCGGAGGAACCGAAGAGAGCTGTCCCAGAAGAAAAAGTTCCGAAACTCAAACCTAAAAGAGAGGAGGAACCACCAGCTAAAGGTATACTGACTCTTTAAAAAAAAAAAAAATTTCAAAATAAGCATCCAGGCACCAAAACTAATCTAGTGGAATAGGTGTCATTCAGGAAAAAAAAAAAAAAGACATATTATAAAGTAAGCAATGTAAGTTTGTTAATGCATATCACTTCAAAACTAAAATTTTTGATAATAGAAAGTACTTTTTACTTCAAAAAAACTGAGGCTTCTTCTAAACATATGTGAATAATTTTCCTTCATCTGTATTTGTCTTCTAATGTCTTTGTCCATATACGAAACTCATCTGCCTAGATGCTTGTTTTACGTAGCAATCTCTGATGAAATTTTTAATTTTTTCAATTCTGAATTTTCTACATTGTACCACCAGAACTAAGGAAAATGTCTTAGAATTAAGGTGAAGAAACTATTCATGTAACACAGGTTTCTGTCTAACGCTTCTACTTAGCTTAATAGTCATTATTTACGCTGTCTAGTTGTCTTTTTAAACTTTTATAAATAATACTTGATTTTGCTAAAATTATTCAATGTCTTTGATGTACTAAGTAGCATTTTTTTGAAAAAAAAAGGTATTCATATGTATATTAGAGCAAGTTTATTTCCAAGTCTATTGATTTTCTTGCCTTTTAAATGAAAGTTTAATCAGGCACTGTTATGGTTGTCTTTGTCCTCGGATTGTTTGAACGAAATTTCTCTTCACACACACATTTTCAGAATCTTGCAATTCACTTTTAATAATTACTCTTTTAAAGTGACTGAATTCAGAAAAAGAGTGGTTAAAGAAGAAGAAGTATCAATTGAAGCTCCAAAAAGAGAACCTCAACCCACCAAAGGTATATTGAACTTTGATTAAGTAATGTGAAGCATGAAACTATCTGGCTCTTTGCCTTGTCGTTCCCAATCTGACTCCTTTGCTTTATTAGCTTATTGTTGACTAAGGGCAGGATATACACCATTTGAAATCACAATTACTAAATATACTCTATGATACCTTGGCCGGCCAAAAAAAGCAGTCAGAGTCTCCCATAATCAGTGCATGAAACAAACACAAAAGAATAAAATCAAAGCACATTGTGACTATCAGTCATCCCTAAAAGTGCTTTAAAGTAAAGTGCTGCCTGTTGTTAATATTGTTTCAGAAGTAATTATAATGGAAGAGAAAGAAAGGTCTTATACCCGAGAAGAAGCTGTTTCAGTACAACGGGAAGAAGAATATGAGGAATATGAAGAATATGATTATAAAGAATTTGAGGAGTATGAACCAACAGAAGAATATGACCAATATGAAGAATATGAGGAACGGGAGTATGAACGATATGAAGAGCATGAAGAATACATCACAGGTATGAGCAAAACTGCAAACTCAAAACCACACTAAATATGTGCACACTCGAACAAGATAAAACAAGATAAATCAGAACAAGATAAAAATTTGGATGCCCAAAGAAATTTGGAAAGAACTTTGTTTCATTTGGCAAATGTGGAATTTTCTTCTTTGATAACTCCTAGAAAAAAAAACTCTATAAATCTTAAGGTTATTGTTAGATTTTTCCCTCATTTTGGCTCATATGCAGAATAGCAAATGTCATTAAGTTTCTTTTTCAAAAAGGTTACAAGTTTATCTTCAAGTGCCCATGATCGTTCTAGGACATGGTTAAAAATTTCTGAACATCCTTTATTCTAAAGCTTGCTATTATGGAGTACGATAGGCTATTGAGAAAATATATTTACCCACAGGGTTCCCATTATCAACACTTGACAATGACTACTTCAAAAGTAAAGACAGGCATGTAAGCTAACACAAGCTGTTGTGTTTTACCTAATGAAGGTCAAATTTGTAGGCATATATTTTGGGCTTCAAAGAGTTTATTTCACTCAAAGAATAAATTTCTATTGGAATTTTGAAATAAATCAATATTATTTCACTTATCCAGTCTCTGATGTTTCATAGCCCAACTTTGAGAACATTCTACATAGTCTTATGGATAGCTTTAAGAAACCCATATTATAGGGGAGTTTTAGCCAGGAATTTATCTACCTGAAGTGAAATGAGAATTTTAACATGTAAGAATTACCTAATTAAAGAAAATAGCAAGAAGGAAAGGGCAATATGAGCTTGTTCTGCTTGGACCTCTGATTCTTGCCTACCTCAATAGGCTATGGCTATACTGTAGATAAAAGGTATTTCAATTATTTAATTCCTTTTAAGAAATGTTTAAACTTATGTTCTAAAGTCTAACATGAAATACCTTGTATGTACTTTTAAAGAACCAGAGAAGCCTATCCCTGTAAAGCCTGTCCCAGAAGAACCAGTTCCCACAAAACCAAAGGCCCCACCAGCTAAAGGTAGAGTGAAAAAAACATTATTACCTGTAAGAGATCTTTGTTTCCTCCATGTCTGTCCTACTATAAAAATATATGTAAAAGTGGCAGTGTACAAATTATGTGTGTGTTTGGGAATATTATGTTGTATTTGTCTTTCTTAACTTTTTGTTCTTACTAGCCTTGAGAAATCTGTTTCAAGTTTTAAAATCTCTTAATATTGATATTTTAAAGTGCCGAAGAAAGCTGTCCCTGAAGAAAAAGTACCAGTGCCCATTCCTAAGAAACTCAAACCTCCACCACCCAAAGGTACATTACTGAGTAATAATCACCAAAGACAACTTTGTTATGTATGTTCTAAAATCATGTCTTCCTAGCCCATCTGATGTTCTGTGTTTTTGCTGAGTAGGATGTTCTTGTCCTGATTCTTATATTTGGTTTTTTATGTGTATTTATTACATAGTATTCAAGGAATTGGTTTTAATGCCCTTTAATAATTAATATCTTTAAAGTGCCTGAAGAACCAAAGAAAGTTGTTGAGGAAAAAATACGTATTTCAATTACCAAACGTGAAAAAGAGCAGGTGACTGAACCCGCTGCTAAAGGTATAATGATTTCCTTCCTCAATTGTGATCTTTTCTGATGCCTCTTTTGAAATTAATGTAACTATGATTCATTTTGTTTTGTTGTTTCATGTCTTTTAAATTAGTTGTCTGCAGAATGTTGAATGTAAAAATCTGTAAATACAGGATAAGAAGATAATACCTTTAAAAGGAAAAATTATTTCAAAATACATCCATAGCCTGTTAGACAATGGCTGTGTCCTACCACATGGCTACAATACATATAAAATAGAATGTTTGGGTTTAGAATCAGTGACCATTTGGCATATTCCTGATTTACCTAAACAATGTAATGATACCATAAGATTCACCAAACTTTGGTAACTGTTTATTCATTCTAAATTCATTTTGAAGATGTTTTTTAAAGCTAACCAGTTTCCAGTCATTTTCCCCCCTGATTCATACTCAGTGTGAAGTATACTAATTGAGAAGTAAATTTCACTTTTCAGGAAAGGATATTTCTTTCAAGCAGAGATATTTGAACACTAAACCTGATTTCACATTTGGGCTCTGCTACTTTGTTTACTTGGGTACTTCTGTGTATCTGTATTTCTATGAAGCTCAGAATCCTTTCCACGGAGAGTACATAGTTTCTTAAAGAGGAACAATCGCATATCTATCTCATTAGAGGGAGATACATTATTCTATCTGCTTAAAGTACAGCAAAGCAAGCATTGGCTGGGTGGCCTTTTTCCAACAATAAAATTTCCTTATACTTAATATTTCAAGTGCCCACGAAGCCCAAGAGGGTTGTCGCAGAAGAAAAAGTACCTGTCCCTAGAAAAGAAGTAGCACCACCTGTTAGAGGTACCTAATGGCACTCATTTTAATGTGTTGTTCGTCTTTTGCTGTTGAATTACTCTTCAGTTCTATGTGTGAAAACTTTTGTGGGAAAAGTAAATCTTGTCCTTTCTTCTGTTATAAATGGGCCTATGTTTCTAAGGTGTCTTAATTTTGCTGAGTCATTGGCAAAGGTCCAACTTAAAGATAATATCTTTAAAGTGCCAGAAATGCCTAAAGAACTTGAACCAGAAGAGGTTGCCTTTGAAGAGGAAGTAGTAACCCATGTAGAAGAATATTTTGTAGAAGAAGAAGAAGAGTACATTCATGAAGAAGAGGAGTTCGTGACTGAGGAAGAAGTGGTGCCAGTGATACCAGTCAAAGGTAGATGATGCCTCCTGCAAAGGGATGTGCAACAGCATCTTCGGAGTTTGGGGGTCTGATTTGGTCAGATTCTGGGGGTTATTAGCAGCACTGATGATTGCTTACTTCAAACCAGATATTTTTAGATGCTGAAATATGGTTTCTACTGGTGCTTTTCACATTTTATTTCTTTCTTGCAAAATTTCCAATATTCTTAATAATGTCTTTAAAGTGCCTGAGTTACCCAAGAAACCTGTTCCAGAAGAGAAGAAACCTGTTCCTGTTCCCAAAAAGAAGGAAGCTCCACCGGCAAAAGGTACACCACCATTCATTGATGGGTATCTAAGAGACTTCATCTGCCTAGAAATAGTTAACTTTCTTCTGAGTTCAAAACCTTGTGTGTGTGTCACTATCTGTTGTTAAAAACCATTAGCTGTGCTTTATAAGGATGTGTTGTTACTAGTAGTTAGAACTTAACAATAAACAATATCTTTAAAGTGCCTGAGGTTCCTAAGAAGCCAGAGGAGAAACTTCCTGTGCTTATTCCTAAAAAGGAGAAGGCTCCGCCAGCAAAAGGTACATCCTTATAATCCATCAATGGAATAGCATGATAATTCACCGTGTAGCATAACTTGGTGAGCCATAGCAGATCTTTCCCCATGACAATATTAACAACACTAATGCCATGACAAGAACCTCTCAACTGGCCACAGGAGCAGTTTACCCGGTATTCATCTCTCAATTTTACCATCAAATTATCCTTATGCTCAATGGTTGGCTCCTCCTCTTTAGTGGAAAGTTCTTCAAGTAAAATATTCTTTTTGCATATCAAAATGGACAAAACCATCATTTACCAGGCATTGTGTCTTGTCTTTATCACCAGTCCACTTTTTTTCAGTGTTTTTTTATTTTAATTTTTGTGTATTTTCTGGTCTTTGTTTTGTGGCTATTAGAATTTTCCGTCTTAAAGTGAAATTGATAGAATATCTATGCTGCTTCAATTAAGGCCTTACATTGCCAGCCTTAAAATCTTAGCTATGGATGAAAAATGTGACACTAACTCTATCTGATATCTTTGAAGTTCCTGAAGTGCCCAAGAAACCTGTACCAGAGGAGAAAGTACCAGTACCAGCTCCTAAAAAGGTGGAAGCTCCACCTGCCAAAGGTACATGAACTTGTAATGTTGCAATTTTTTTATTTTACATTTGCATATGAGTAAAAAATTAATTGGTTTAACTCTGAACTCTTTGGGATGCAACTCTTTAGAGAAAATTAAATATTTTGTTTTAAAAAGAAAATGCCTCTTGGAATATCTTTGTCATACTTTTATTACCTTACCTTAATCTTTTGAAACTATGCTTGGAATCAATATTTTTATGTTGTATGAAGTTTTTCTCTACATCATTTCTTTAAAGTGCCAGAGGTACCCAAGAAACCTGTGCCTGAGAAGAAGGTGCCAGTTCCTGTTCCTAAGAAAGTGGAGGCTCCGCCTGCGAAAGGTACATCATTTCATCATTTAAAGTACTTGGGGGAAAAAATGCACATCTATGTATACTCCTACACAAATTTCCCCATTACATTGTACATTTTTAAAGTGTCTATCTTGTTAGAAATATGTCAGGTATTTTGCAATTCTTTTTCATATCTATTGCTCTAAGACATTGTAAGAGAACATATTCCTAAACACAAAAAATATCTTTAAAGTGCCAGAGGTGCCCAAGAAGCTCATCCCAGAAGAAAAGAAACCAACACCTGTTCCGAAAAAAGTGGAAGCACCACCACCCAAAGGTACATTAATCTGTAACAGAGCCATAGTAAAAGAGAAAACTAACTGGTGTTATACAGCCTTACTAATTATAATTAATGCTTAGTTTTTATGTTGATGATAATCGATGCTTTGTGATCACAGAATATTTGTCTTTCATAAGCTTCTTCACTGTTTTGAATATTTTACATAAAAGTGATGTTTCTACCCTTGAATAAATATCTTTAAAGTGCCAAAGAAACGTGAACCAGTTCCTGTAGCTCTACCTCAGGAAGAGGAAGTTCCATTTGAAGAAGAAATTGTTCCTGAAGAGGAAGTTCTACCTGAGGAAGAGGAAGTTCTACCTGAGGAAGAGGAAGTTCTACCTGAAGAAGAGGAAATTCCACCTGAGGAAGAGGAAGTTCCTCCTGAAGAAGAATATGTACCTGAGGAAGAAGAATTTGTACCTGAAGAAGAAGTCCTTCCAGAAGTTAAACCTAAGGTGCCAGTACCTGCAGCAGGTATGGCAGGTCTTCTTGGAATCATCAAGGCCTTTTTTGTGTTGAATTCTGCTTTTCCATCCTTTTGTTCATCTCCAGTTTTATCTATAATGCTTTACCCTCTGTAATTGACCACCTAAATCTTAGAAAACATTCCAGACATTTGTGCTGTTATTATTGTGTGTCTGCCTTGTGTATCTGTCTATTGTAAGTTATCTAAATGTCTTTTCAGATCACGTATTATGTTTACTTGTTTGTGGTCTTACTCTCATGTGTCTCTTTCTTATATATATATACACGACCATGTATATGTGGTTTTTAATGCCTTCAAATGAAATGTTTTTAAGTGCCTGAAGTGCCAAAGAAACCTGT